TTGAACCGCCAGCCTTCTGGTTAGCAGTCAAGTGCCTTAAGCATTATGCTACCAGAGCTCCTACTCCCTTCTCTTTATCTCCCACCATTAGAACATGGTCATTAGCTAACATCCATATCTCCAGGTCTGACCTCTGTCTTGAACACCAAAGTCCCAGTTCCAACTAGGTATTTTCATATGGAATTCTCAAGAACACCTTGTAGTCAGCATGCTTAAAATCAAAGTTATCCTTTTTTTTCTTACCTCCTGAATTTCCTGTAACAATTCGTATTTAGGGGTGAGACACTTACCTTAGAATTTGTATAAATCCTGACTGAGCTATTACATTTTTTTTCCCATCCCTTCTTTTTGTATTATACTGGGTAAACTAATGGAAAATTGCTTCCTTTTAGGAGACAGGGAGAAGGCCTTCGAATCTACTGGGGCAGTGTGGAGCAGCAATCCCTGCTGTCCCGCTGGAACCCGTGGTCCACTGAAGTTCCTTATGCTACTTTCACTGAGCACCCTATGAAACAAAACAGTGAGAAGTTTCTAGAAATTTGCAAGGTAAGAAGCCACTTGGGCAACTCTTAGATTAGAGGCATTGGTAGAAGCTATTAACTTCTAAAACATATACTGTTAAATGCAAAGAAATGACAGGAAGACATGATCAAGGGTTTAAAGAGACTAACATTTTAATAGATTTATAGAATTTTTTTTTAATAAGCAGTGGGATTTTTAAGTATGCAAATATATAAAAATATTTTTATTACCTGTACCATGCAGTTTACCTCTTGGTAATTTCTTTTAGTGTAATGTTAATAAATTGCAATAGCTACTTTTGTCTGAATATTCATGGCCTCAAAAAAAAAAAACAAATACACTGCCATTGAGTTCTCACTCACAGAGACTTCCTTTGGGTTTTTAAGGCTATAAATCTTCACAGAAGCAGACTGCCTCTTCTTTCTTCTGAGGAATGGCTGGTACCTACCTTTTGGTTAGCAAGCAAATTCCTTAACCACTACACTACCAGGGCTCCTTTGTTCATGGCCTACAAAGCATGTAATTTTCTGTATATAATTAAATCCTAATTAATTTATTCTGAGGAGAAGTGTGGAAAAATATAAAGTATGTTTAGCCAAATCCTGCTTTGTGATCAAGTTTGATTAAGTCACTCCTCTCTAAAATGGAGAAAATGAGAACTGCCCTTCTCCCTACTTCACTGAGCCATTGTAATGTTAAATGAGATAATGTGCATATAAATGCTCCACAGAGTGCAATGGAATTAAGAATTTTTTCTGTGTCTTTAAATCTCATCTTATAAATAGATTTTAAGTCTGTCAATGACAGAGACAGTCCCCTTTACTAATCTTTCATCTCCCCTAGGGAGGCTGCTTTGTCTACTCGAGCTGCTCTCTGAAATCTTCTG